ATTATATTGAGACCAATAGTCTGAGAAACAGACTCCTCATGTTTCACTTACGTGTTTTACCAAATGCATTTGAATACATTTGAGAATCAGTTTGCTCATTTCTTTGTAGACTTCTCTATAGTATGGTCTGGAGAATTCAGAAGAGAGATTTTGGGGGGAAATGTCAAAAAGGAATATAATAACTTAAACAAGGAAATGTTAATTCCACGGGAAACATTTAAACATTTAATTAACACACTAAAAAATATAAGTAGCTTCCCCCAATTTATTTTCCGTTAATTCCTTTATGAATACTATTTGTTGTATTTTATTATAAAATGACATTATTAATATAGGCATCTGAAACAATAATATAGGTTTAAGAAAATAAATGATTTGCATTAAAAAATTCTGATATTTTCTTGAAAGTATTTCAATTTATAGAGACTGTGAAATGGAGGACCAGGGAAAATAACAGTATTAGTTTTCCTTAATATATAATAGCAACTGGACATTAAAACTAATCTTGATACACGATTATAAAAGTTAAGAAGTATATTATTATTTATAAAAACCCTTTATATGGTGATTTAAAAGTAAAAAAAATCTGTATAATATATGTTAAAATAAATTAATATATTTAAAATTGTGATTTTTAGCTATGAGAGGATTCAGAAAAAATATAAGAAGCAATTTTCACCTTAGTAATATAATCATATAATGCTTATAGAACTTCAGAAAGGAATTCAATAAAAAATTAATATTTTTTCAATTAAAATATAATACATGCTCCTTGTATTATTATAAAAAGCAAGAGAACACAAACATAACTAGAGTTATATCTTAGAACTACAAAACTAATTACATTTACTATGTAATCATCCATGCATATAGTCATCTACTTTCCTCTCAAAATAAATAGGCCTTTTCTTTCCTTTTTGCCGAGTACTTACTTTTTAAACTTAAGATAAGTTTAAACAAATATAGCATATATGTATATTCTCAATGCAATTACTCTTTTATATTGTAGCTGTCATTATTATTATGACCATTTTATTATTGTTGGGCATTTAATTTATTTTCCAATTTAGATATTAAATGGCATTTCTATAAACATTACTATCAGTAAATCCTCCTCATTTTACCAAGTAAATGTTTCTTGAATGAATGAATGAATAAACGAAATATTTGCACATTTCCACATATTCCTAACCTTAATTCATAGATGTAGTTCACTACCTTCCTATTATTATCATCTAATCCTACTTTTCTATATCTGAACTTTGCTAGAAATAGATGTAAATGAGATTTCTTGAAAATATATGTTTACCAAAATAATGTAAACATATTTTCTAAAATTATATAAGTGGAACTATAATTTTCATAACTGCAACTGACTTTTTAGAGTGTTTAGTTCGAGGGTTCTTAATTGAAGATAGGAGAGAATTAGAACCAACTGAGAGATTCCCACAAAAGACATCCTCCCCATTGGGATGCGTTGCTTTATTGGTGAGGGTGGAGGCTCCGCATGTGGTTCTGATCGTCCGGTAAGGGCCACACCTGCAGCCCAGAGGCCTTTATTTATAAGTCAAAAACAGAAGCCCGAGGAGCACTGGCCGGCCTACCTTCCAGACATTATTAGTGCAACCGAGTGGGACCAGATCTCCTGAGGTCTACACTTTCCACTCTCTCTGCCTTTTATGGTATTTTGTAAGTACCCTTTTTTCTTTGTAACAGGTAATATATTAAAAAGATAAACAAAAAACTTTCAGGGTTGTATAAGCTCAACATCACTGGCATAACAAAGCTTCTGAAATAAGATTCCCTAAAAAATCAACTGTTGAATGGAACAGTTGAATTTTTAGCGAAGTTTATTTCAGAAGCTTCAAACCAGTGTGCTTTGAAATGCAGTATTCTCTTCATAGAAGAAACTTACAGGCTGCGTTTCCCCAGTTTAATTGTGTGTAGAGCTAACCCCCAGAGCAGGGGGAACGTCCTGCCTGCAGGCCATATAAGCCTCCAGAAATCACTTGGTCTGGCCCTGCCAAGGCATTCGGGTTGAGTTCATTAAATGTTTGACCAAATACAGCAGGCTAATTTTTACATTGATAATTTTGTATGGCCCTTAATAGTGTTTGGTTCTTAGCAGAAAAAAGGTCCCGTTCCCCCCCCCCCACCCCCCCCCCCCCCGCCTTAGAGTATCATGAGGGTCTGTTGTCTTTTGAAACTTCCTTTGACAAAAACATTACTTGCCATATTGCCATGTATGCAAGGTAATACGAAAACTGTCTTATACATGGAGGGTAGACCATGTTAGGCATCCATTAATATGCTTATTACTGATCAATCCTAATTTTTTCATGAGTGTTTCTACTACATAAAAATGTATGTGTAATTTAAACGACTGACATTTTAAAGCACGGAACTTCCATTTTTCGTGTTCATCAGAATCACCTGGAGGTTTGTTAAACTCAGATCGCTCAGCCCCTCCCGTGGTCTTTCTTACTGACTAGGTCCTGGGTGGGGCCTGAGAGCCTGGGTTCTAAAGTTTACATAGATGCTGATGTCGCTTGTCCAAGGACCGCACTTTGAGAAACCACTGCTTTAAAGTAAATGTGGAGACTTTTCACTAATTCAGAATGCTTACATCTGAGAAGAATAATGCCTATTTGTTAGAACCCTCTTTACATTCACATTATTAACGAAAGTAGTTTGTTTTATTGTACCTTTCACTTATGTCAATAGTACCCTGGAATAGACGCCCATAAACTGCAGGGTGAATTTTAAAGTGTATTAAAATTCACAGTTGAATCCAGTGCAAATCGTTCAGTTTGAGGGTTCTTAATTGAAGATAGGAGAGAATCTAGAATCAACTGAGAAATTCCTTCAAAAGACAGTCTCCCCATTGGGATGCCACTTTATTGGTGTGATTCTGAGCGGCCCCCAGGTAAGGACCACACCTGCAGCCTAGAGGCATTTATTTGAAAGTCAGAAACAGAAGCCCGAGGAATAGTGACTGGCCTGAGTCTCAGACTTTAGAGTAGAATCAGATCTCCTGACGTCTATACTTCCCACTGTGCCTTTTATGGTATTTTGTAAGTACCGTATGTTCTTCGTAATAGATATTATACTACACACACTTCTGTTTTAGAAGAGTATAATTTGTGATTTTCGCATGTAGGTATGTTGCTAAATTTTAGACTTTTGGACAGTGTTGTTTTGCATATTTTTACTTGTTAATGGAGGGGTGACTTTTACATAAATAAAATGTGAACTCTTCCCAAATATTTTTTATCATTGACAAATTTTACAATTCAAATTGCACATACCCACATGTATGTTCATACACACATACCTAACTTGACCAAAAATTTCACAATATATTTCTCTCTTATGTGGAGTGTATTTTCATATTTATGTTTCATTTAAGATTATTTGGTCATGACTTATTAAGTTGATTTTATTATCTAATGATGGATCAGACCTATAGCTTTACAGAAATAAAAAAAAAGCTGTGTTGCTCATATTTGTGTCTAAATAATCTTTTCAATGTTGCAATTTCCCTAGAGAAAAAAAAATACATAACTATGGTTGTGTGTGTAGGAACGTGTTAAAATATCTCAGGATGCTGATGTGTTATCTGGCCATATAAATTTCCAGAGCCATATGGAAAGTTGGATACTCACTTCTTTCTAGACCTGCTGACTTTATATTGTTAACACATCCTCCCCAACCTCCTACTGAAATCTTCTGATCATCCTATTAAGTCTCTGTTTATCCTTTGCATTACTGCCTTGTGCTATTAAAAAGTCCAATGTTGTGATTTTTATATTCAGTTTTGTTTTTAGGAGATTACCTTGGGAATATGGAAAACTTTAGTTTCTAACATGAATGAGTTGATAATACAGGTTTGAATTTAATGAAAAAAAGAATTAGAGAAGAGTTAAATAACTATATTTGGACAGGAAAAAAAAGATTAACATATTTAGTCAAAAACAATTGTTCTAGACATGTGTTTTGAATAAATGAGTGAGATTCTTAGATTTTGTTAGGGGAGGGCAACAGGTAATTCAGTATCTAAAACATATTTCAAAGAGATAGAAAACTCATCTTTAATCTTAAACTCCTGTGGGATTTTCCTCAATCATTATTGATTGTTGTTTCTGCTCCTACCTTGGAAGACAAATTGCTCTAGTTAGAATTTAATTGTACTCAGAGTTACAATATATCTTTTCTTTTCTAGTATACTTTCTTTTTTAAAACAAAATATGTCCTATCCAGGTTGGCCCAGTGGATAGAGTGTGGGCCCACAGACTGAAGGGTCCCGGGTTCAATTCCAGTGTCCAGGGCGTGTACCTTGGTTGCAGGCCCAATCACCATATGGGAGGCAATCAATCAATGTGTGTCTGTCACAATGATGTTTTTTTTTTTCTCTCTCTCCCCTCCACTCTCTAAAAATCAATGGAAAAAATAGTCTCCAGTGATATTCTGGGCTAGGTCCATGAAAATCAAATAGACCTGGTCTATGGGGAGTGGAGGGAGTGGGGGGAGAGAATCTTATTCTCTTGGGAAACATGCAAAAGTCAAGGGAGCATGACATAAATAATTGCTCAATATTTTTTTTTTGTCATGTGGCTCATTAGTTGTCAAACCCAAAATGTTCATGGTGTTGTACAATATAAATGTGGTAAGATAAGAGCGCAATTCCCACCAAGGGGATAGTTTTATGATACTCATTTAATGACACTCATCCTGTTGTTTAAATGTTCATTTTGATAAATGTTAGATGCTGGTAAGCTCTGGTTCTGTTGGGATAATCCTGAGGAGTGACTCGACCATGGAGGAAATTAGGAGGGAAGATGGTTATACTGTGAAAAATTGGATGTTATCATGGTACTCTATTTTAAAATATTCTTCCTTTTTTAAAGAATATGCACTTGACAGACAATAAGAATGTGAGAGCATCTGTGTTAGCATACATGGTAATATTCTGTTTTTTGTTTTTGTATTTTCCTACATAGCCTGAAAAAAATGACAGTGAGCCAGGCAGCCAGAGGATAAAACCTGTTTTCATCGAAGATGCTAATTTCGGACGACAAATATCCTATCAACATGCAGCAGTCCATATTCCCACCGACATCTATGAGGGCTGTAAGTAAAAGAATGCGAAAAACAGTTCAAATACCATGTTCTTATCTAACTTATGGAGCTCATATGATGCTTTATTTACATGTCATTTAGGAGTCTGTGGCAAACTCAGGTTTGTGTAAAAGAAGAAACCTGATTTACATGAGCTGTTAATGCTCAGATGGCCTCACTGGATAAATGTTTGTAGGCAGGTCCGAGTCCATGGAGATGTTCTTCTACTCTAGTGTTCAGTAAATAATTCTGCTTTCCCAATTGGCATCAATAACTTAGAAGTATTAGAATTATTCTTTAAAAATCAAAACTATATCTCACAAGTGCACACATGCAAATATTCTTACACACACACACACACACACACACACACACACACACACCCCCACCAGTAAAGGAAGCAAGATGTATATTGTAGACTCCATTTTTTACCACATCTTACCATGCTTTTAGGTCTCTCTCCCAATTGTGGGCTCAAGATAAAAAGAAGTGTTGGGGAAAGGAATAGACAAAAGACCTAAGGAAGCAGAAAATCACTCCAGGGAAGATTAGACCGAGAAGGCTTCACTGTAAAGAACGGAGGGGTTAAGTTATATGGGAAGATGGAGGGGAGCAAGCTTGGGTCAGTGATATTTCCCATAAACACCCACATGGAACCAAGGCAGAGCCTGAGAATTCTCACTAGGAAGTTCCCTAAGGACCAGCCATTTAGGAGGACAAGCTGTGACCCAGAAAGCAGGGTCTTTATTCACAGCTCTGGCTTCCATTCTCTGAACAGCTTACTTTCATGCCCCCCCATACCCTGCCTTCTCACATAAACTGGTCAGGAGAAAGAACCACTTGACATTGTGTTTCCTGTGTTCCCCATAATCAGAAAGGCTCTAAAGTGTTCTGAGTATCTAGCGTACCCAGGTTTCAGGAGCCAGATGGCCTATGTTCATATCTAAATTTTATTAATATTGTTTCCTGAGGCAAATTTTTTGATGCTCATGTCAAGCGAAGTCTGCAGTACCAGGCTTGTAGTAGGTTCTACGTGTTTGTTGTTACTATCAATTACAATTAAAGTTTAGAAACAGGATTAAGCACAGGGACTGATATTGTAAATTAGCTCTTATTTTTTTAATCCACTGTGAGATTATTCGTGGTTTAAAAGGGAATTTTAAGTACATGTGTGATTCTTTTCATTAACCCATTTCACCTATGAAATACTGTATTCATTCATTTTGTTTCTTTTTAATGTTTTAAAATGTGCATCTTGTTTTCTTCTTATCAATTCTTATAAGATGGTAAACATACAATATTTCTCTACCTATAATAGACACAGAATGGTCTCTATAGGTAGTTTTTGATGTTCCATGCAAATTAAACATAATTTGACTTCTTTACAACCAACTTATCCTATTAATTGCAAGTCCTTTGAGAAATTACCTGGGATTTAGATTCAGTTTTTTTTGTGTGTGTTTTTTTTTTTTCTCCCACACTTCTGTTTTTTTTCCCCAACAGTTATTTAAGCACTAACTTAAATAATGTGGCTCAGTAGATCCTGTGGACTGAAGGGCCCTGGGTTCGATTCCGGTCAAGGATACATGCCTGGGTTGCGGGCTTGATCCCTAAAGGGGGGCTTGCAGGAGGCAACTGATCAATGATTCTCTCTCATCATTGATGTTTCTATCTCTCTCTCCCTCTCCCTTCCTCTCTAAAATCAATAAAAAGTATATTTAGGAAAAAAAGTTATTTAATATGTGCAATTATATTTTGTAACTACTATAGCAAGCCACTATTCAGACACCACCAAGCTCTATGATGATGTTTTTTCATTTAAAAATGTTATTTAATTCACCTTATTTTGTTTAAATGTTTATAACCTGTTGCTTGTTGGGTATGTCAACAAAGTAATCTTATTTCTTTATCTTTTTATTGAATTTACATAAGAATAAACTGGGTGAATGGATATAGAAATTCTTAGTCAAAACATATTTTTTGTCAATACTGTGCATAGCATGGCTCTGTTTTTCAACTTGCATTAGTGTGTTGAAAAAAAAATGGACTTCAACTTGATTGTTTTGATCATATTGGGAAGCTTCTTTGATTGTGTTTCTGTTTTGTTGCCTCTTATTTGAGTTTTCCCTTAACTCCTGAAATTCAGTACTTTATAAATGTCAACAAGATATTCAGTCAATTATATTTTTTCAAGTAGTGTTAACATGTAGACACTTAAATATTACCTACAAGTCTTCCATAGAAGACTTGTAGGTAAAATTAAAAAAAACAAAACAAAAAAAAAAGAAACCCAAAAACCCACGATTGAAATATATGGTGTGATCAGAACCCTGGCTAGCTATCCCTTTATATTCTTAAATAGAACATACTAAATACACAAAATATTTTTTATATATATTTTATTGATATTTACAGAGAGGAAGGGAGAGAGACAGAGAGCTAGAAACATCAATGAGAGAGAAACATCGATCAGCTGCCTCTTGCACACCCCCTACTGGGGATATGCCCGCAACCAAGGTGTACATGCCCTTGACCGGAATCGAACCCGGGACCCTTCAGTCCACAGGCCGACGCTCTATCCATTGAGCCAAACCAGTTTCGGCTAAATACACAAAATATTTAATGAGGCTCTTCACATGAACTTCCATAGTCTTTTTGCCTCTCTGTAGATAAATTTCCTTGTCGTTCAGGCAGTCCAGTAGTGCTTATACAGAAATTCTCAAATTTTCTGTAAAATTTTCAATGAAAAGTATCAGAACTACTTCACACATTTTTAAAACAGGTTTCTTGCCCTAGCCGGTTTTGCTCAGTGGATAGAGCATCACCCCGTGAACTGAAAGGATCTGGGTTGGATTCCAGTCTAGGCTCCAGCCCAGCCCAGTGTCTGGGAGGTAACCAAAAAGATGGTTATTTCTCTCTGTATCTCTTTGTCCCTTCTACTTTCTCTAAAAATCATTGGGAAAATATCCCAGGGTAAGGATTAACCAAAACAAAACAAAAAGAAATACAAGTTTCTTTTTTCTTCTAAAAGCCATGTGCCATCATGGCAAAAGTTTTAATATTGCATACTTATTTAACATGGACAATGAAAGTCTCCAATGGTATCCTCTCCTGAAGCTAATAATGGTTAACAATTTGGGACTTAGTCCTTTAGAATATTTTTTAAATTGCCGACACTAACTAATGTAATAATTTAAATGGGTTTTTCATACTGTTCTTCAGCTTGCTTCCCCACACCTGCCTTATAATAGAGAGATATTTTTGTTAAACTATTAAAAGACTGAAAATAAAGAGGAACATTTCTCTTCAGGTGTAGGTTACCCAGAGAATATAAAAAAAATTATTTTTGCTTAAATTTTCAATGGGATACTACTATTTCGAAGCAAAAATAAGTAAAAAATGCATTTCTCATTTTTTACCTAGATTATTAGAACCCAAACTAATTAGAGCATAATTTAATAGTCTGATAAATTACCTTGTATATATATTTTACTAATACCAAGGGTTAATAGACTAATTCCACTGACCTGATTAATAACCTTTTTTTTAGAGTATACTAGTTATTTCATGCTAATAAACTTCCTTAATATTTTATTTACTATAACTTTGTTAAAATAATTTTGGAAAAGAGGAAAACTTATGTGAAGTCTTTAATGAAAAACTGCAACATTTGTAAGACATGGTGTCAGAAGTCAAATAAATTCTAATTCCATCTTTTGTTCTTTTAATAACTATGAGAGATAATATACCTGATATTTTACTTTTGAGTTAATTTTCACTTGGTTTTATTATTTTGGAGCCAGGATTGTCTCTAGAAGTTAGCAATAGAGTTACATATGTGAATCTTCATTTTCTTACTATTTTGCTCTATTCATTTTTTAGTTGAAAATTAAGTTCATGACTAATGTCTTCATCTATTTTATAATGTCGTAAAATCTGACACACAAAATAAATCCACAAATATATTTTAAGATATTAATTGTCACATAATATATACATCTGTTCATTAAAATATTGTTATTGATTTTTAGAGAGATAGAAAGGAGAGGGAGAGAAAGAGAGAGAAACATCAATAGGCTGCCCCCTGCACCCCCCTCTACTGGGCATGTGCCTTGTTGGGAATCCAAGGGCAACCCTTCAGTGCATAGGAGGACTCTCAACCAGCTGAGCCTCAGTGGCCAGGGCATGGATTTTTTTTTTTCAATATCTTACAAGGGCTTTGACTTTGTCTAAATATTTTTATTTATAACTTCAAATAAACTATTTGCAAACAACTGCAGAAGATGATTTTAATCACCTCAGAATAAAATTACTGCTTTACTTTAAAAAAATAATAAAAAAAATACTTAGAGGTTTTCAGAAGTCATAAGACTTTGGCATACAGCATACATCTTAAAAAAAAAAAAAAGCTCTGTCTTTGAATTATTTATTTAGTCCTATTTATCTTAATATTGGCTTTTCCTTCTTGGCTGAAATCTCATCAATAAGACTCTGACCCTTCCGGGCCTATACTCCTTTAAAATTCATATGCATTGTTTTGGGCTGTGTGAGTAAATGACACAGAAGTAAAATCAGGAATGTTAACAAGATCGTAAAACTTTAATAATTGTATAGTTGTTATTCAGTCCATCATAACATGTTAGATTTACAGTATTATTCTAGTTTCTGAATTTTAAAAAATGTGAAAGTGCAATTTAATTGAAGCTTAACAGAAGGAAACAGCTTCTTTCACTTAAGGAAGTTGAGTATTTACATTCTAATAAATCTCATGTTCTAATTTCCCAAAACTGATTACTTTATTCCCTTGAATTGAAAATGGTCATTTTTTCCTCAATGATATATTTAAAATTTTATAGTATATTTAATTAAAACCCTATCTGAAAGTTTTCATTTTTGAGAATTTCACAAGTTGATACTTTTAAGTCAAAGAAATTTCAGAATTCATAAGATGTTTAGTAAGAGATCATGTGCTATTTCAACGAATATTCTGATATGTAGAACAACTCAATATC